GTGACAGTGACAGAGTGAGAGAGTGAGAGAGAGAGAGAGAGAGAGAGAGAGAGAGAAAGGGGGGAAGAGAATAGTCAGATGAAAAGATACTGACAGAGATACAGAGATGGAGAGAGAGAGAGAGAGAGAGAGAGAGGGAGATAGAGAGAGAGGGAGGGAGAAATAGGTTAGAGGCAGAGGAAAGAGAAATTAAAAGAGCTGAAGGAAGGACTCCCTAAATCCATAGAAAAGATACTATTAAAAAAGTAGAGCTGAGATTCTTTTAGTACATTTTAAACCAAATTATGTAAACTGTAACCAAGATATATACTGAAGATGGAGTCTATCCTACATAATTATAAGCAATGTATGTATACTTCACTATTTAGTGTTGGTGTGGTGATATATTTCATTCTGTTAGAAATGTAAAGATGAACAACTGTCCAGGTGAAATTGTAAATATGAATTAATGGAGGCGATCGATAACTGACAGCCATCTACATTCTTATCAAATCAATCGAACATACAAGATAAAAACAATCTGCATAATGATATGCATTTACATGTGCACCATGAAAGCGCATGCCCCACCTACAAACATGTAAAATTGCAGTGCATGTAGATGTACACGTAGAACACTGCAGTCAGCTGAGCAGTAAAGATACAGAACCATTCTTTATGTAAATTACACCCAAAACATAAACACTGCTGCTTTTTCCCAGGCCGGTCAACAAACTTTCTCCAATATAAACAAACCTGACTGCATACACACACCATATATATACACACAGCATATAAACACACAGTAAAGTCCATACACAGACCCTTGCATTGTATGCATGTGTAAAGCTGCCTTGACAGCAGGCAGCAACGAGCCAGCCAATGAGAGGCCTGCACTCCTTTCCACTGACCTAGTGAACTTCATTCCTATGCAAATGAGGGGGATTCACCATACATTGTGCAGGCAGGCGCTTTGTTTACAAACTGTTCTGGAAAATGAATTTGAGGTAGATCAGTTCCCTGATGCTTTGGAAACAGGATTTCTTCTTGGATTCTTGGAAATTTTCTCATTTATCTCTGATTTTGATGTGTACACATAATACATTCCTACATTTTCTAACAAAATTATGAATTATAAGGTCTAGAAAATATGAAGTTTTTCTTTCTTTCTAAATCTACACTGGAGGCATATATAGCACATAGCCATAGGCCCTCTGTTTTTTCAACACATTTTCATAAACAGAGATACTATATTATGTACATACAGTATATGTCTAAGAAAAAAAAGGTGCACTATATTTGTTATAGTGTCAAGTGAAAAAGGTTTTCAGTCTCACATGCATATGTTTTCCCCTACCACCACAATATATGCATAACAGTATGTCACAAAATGGAAATCAATAGACTGCAAGGCCAATACCACTAGTTTACTGAAGAAACAAGAATAGACTCAACATTTGCATACAATGGACACATTCATTCATAGGCCTCTACCCCCCACCCAGAACACACACTCATAATGTCCTAAGGCCCTCTTTTGCTTCAAATTGAAACAGTTGTGTTTTGAGGTTTCCCTTTTTAATACCCTCTTTCTAAATCATTGATTTGAAGCATAACATATCAAATACTTGCTTGTTCAAACAGAGTTCCGGTACTCTGCACATTTCTCTTTGTTTTTTAATTTTTTTTCACTCCAGTCATTTAAAACAATCGATTGCTCTTGTACACACAAAAGACTATACTATGCCTGTGTACTTATACGTGGGAAAACAACATGCAAGAGGGATCAATAGTGCATGAATGCCCAAACTCGCCTCACTCTCAGAATAACCCCAATTACAGGATGCAAGCAACAAAAAAAAAAAAACAGTTTACATGTACATTCCAAACATTTTTTTTCAAACTATTAAAGTCATAAACTCAGCATTGTGTCACTATTTGGGTGTGGTAGAAAGAACACTGCTATGTTTGTTTTTAAAAACATCCTGTATAAATACACCTACATGTATTAAAGGTGTGTAGAGCTTTAAAAAAATAGCTGTACAAAGCATTCATATGACAAAATCCAGGTAAATTTAGTTCCCAGAAACTAACAAAACCTCGCCCTACAATAGAGAAAAGTTGCTATGTCATGACAAGAAGGTCACCGAGTCTTGCATTCCCACACTCGCTGTCAGCTAGGCTGTCAGCTGTATACCAAATGGCTCTACTCTACTGAACCCGTAACCCTGGTTTGACAGACAAACACAATAGAAACCAACCCTAGGAGGCGATCTTTAGTCACAACTCCACCCAGCTGAGCTATTCATTCTATTGTTGTACCTCACCGTGCCGCATTGAAAGACTGCAGTATTTGGGGTACACAGATCTTGGTTACTGGGAAACACCCTCATAGCTAGGCCTTGTCGCAAACCAGGTATCAGTCCACTACAGCCCAGAGACAATTGTCAACATTTAATCCGTGCCTGCTTACAAGGACACCTCCCAGGCGAAACTTTGAAAACATGTACTGTAACTGTCC